CTTTGTGGCAATAAGTTCCAGATGTTACGTGTTGTGTGTGTGTGTGTGTGTGTGTGTGTGTGTGTGTGTGTGTGTGTGTGTGTGTGTATTTCAAAAAATCATCTTTTCTATTTTAAATGGGTTACCATTCAGTTTCACTGACTGCCTCCTTCTACTTGTTTTAAAGCAGTGGTTCTCAAACTTTTTTACTGGTGACCCTTTCACATACCAAGCCTCTGAGTGAGACACCCGTTATAAATGAAAAACACCTTTTTTACATATTTAACACCATTATAAATGCTGGAGGCAAAGCGGGGTTTGGGGTAGAGGCTGACAGCTCGCAACACTCCCAAGTAATAACCTCACGATCCCCTGAGGGGTCCTGACCCCCAGTTTGAGAACCCCTGTTTTAAAGGGTAAATTTACCTCTTATATACCAGGCATATTTTTCATATACCAAACATACTATCTATTTATATAACATTAGAATATTTTCACTACTATTTTGTCTATCATTCTTTATATGTCCTAACATGTTTGTTTTACCCACGCTGCACATTTAAAGCAGGATAATGATGCAGCAGGTTCTTCTTGAATGGTTTCAATCAATTTAAAACTCAGTTCTATGTAGTTAAAATTATTCCTTCTGATGTGCATTTGCTATTGTGTTGCCCATTCAGTAAATCTTGTATATCCTTAGTTTCCTTAATAGCTTCTCATGAGGAACTTAGTCAAAGGCTTTTTGAAAATCCAATCATCAACTGATTCTTCTCCCTTAGGCACTAATTTGTGGGCACAAAGAATTTTAGTAGATTATAGATGCATGATTTATAAACCATCCTAGCTTGTCCATATCATATGTCAATCTAGCCATTTCTTTTACTCCTTTTAAATTACAAATCAATTTTCCTAGTAGTGAAGTAAGGCTTAATTGCTTGTAATTTTCTGAATTCCCCCAGCATCTTTTTTAAACATACTAACTTAACTTGAAGCATGGATAAGTTTTTAGTTCTTAGCAAAAAAGGGTGAAACTTTCAATTCAGTAGTTCTCATTTAACAAAAGAGAAAACAGATTTAAGAACGACATGGATAATGGAGCTGAGGTTTAAACAAGCAGAAGCCTAGATCAGGCATTCTTCGTGGAGGGTATGTGGTTGTGGAATTCAGTATTGCCAAACATAAGGTTAAGCCTCGGTCTTATCCCTTTCAGGTTGCCCTATAACACTCATTTCTTTCTTCTGGTTCTCTCAACAATTAAGTATCAAAGTGGTCATGACACTTGCTTGGGGAAGCAATGCATCCAGATTATTTCCTCCCAGGCACATGGTTTTATTAATGCAGATTGGAAGAGCAGAGAACTTTATTTTCCTTTTTTGAGGGACCTAATGCACTTCTAAATTAATGCAATGCCATCTACACACTATGTGATAAGCACCTTTGAAATTCAAATAATAAGGATTGTAACAATGAATACTGTTGCCATCATAACTTGCCCACAAAACCCATGAGTTTATGATTTGGGGTGGAACAAACCTGGTTGGAGGATATTTCTGAATTCATGTAATAGCGTTTCGATTTTATGATGATGGGCATAAATGCAAATAATGATTTAAAAAAAATGATCACTCCCATCACAATAAGTCATTCACGGTCATGATTCGGGGGGAAAAAAAATAACCAGCCATCCATGTGCAAGGAGAATGGTTGAGGAGATAATGTACAGTTTCAATATACTGAAGTTTTATTGTTTTCAAATATTTATCTCTAACCTTCTACTGGTACTTCCACATCTGTTCCTTCACTGCAATCGGAACCCTGGTGGCTTCCTTAGATAAATATAAAGTAAAATATACCATAATAAAAATACAGAGTAACTTATGTTAACATTAACTAGTCAAAACAATATTTTAATAAGGCAAGTTTAAAACAATAAATATCTAAAATCCACATGAACTGAAAAAATGCATCTCAATTTTCGAATCTGAAAAATTCATGAAAGCAAAAGCACTCTGACCTTTATACGGAAGAGTCTTTCTTGAGATACAAATTACCTTTTTCTAAATGGGTATATATATATTATATATATTAAAAATACACACACACACACACACACACTTACTCTACGACCACTGATTTTTTGGGGGTGGGGGATGGGCACATTGTTTCACCAGATTTTCAATTTGTGCAAAGAACCATCTTCCCTCACACACACACACAAACACTTTTCCCATTAAATTGTCTCCCCCCCATGCTTTCTTCCCCACTCCAATCCCCCAACCTATAATACACTTTTAAAAAGAATCAAGTTTGAAATGTGGCATGCAGAGAGGGTTATTAAAACTTCTCGGCTCTCTGTGAGCTGAGGGGTGAAAACATTAATTTTACACACCAAACTGCAATGGAAACAAGGCCTAAATTTTCAAGAATTGCTAGCAATTTTTGATGCCTCAAAATTTGTCTGAAAAGGGCCTGATGTTAAGAGAGTACATTAAGAAGGCAGAGCACTTCTGAAAAAGTCAGGGTCCCCTTTTATTGTATCTTAAATTCAGCACCCAAAAATTTAGGCACCCAAAAACACTTGTCCCTTTTGAAAATGTAGATCCCAGAGCTTACTCGTCTCATACCAAACTCAGAACTGCAGCGTCTCGAGAATCAGCACTCAGGCGTCCAAATATCAACACGGTTGTAAGAAAATGTTGCTGAGAGAAACAGAACTGAAAAAATACCTGTGTACTTCTTTGCAAGAGCAATTTTTTCATCAATTTCTGAAGTTTCTGAAGGGCCTGCTTTGGAGACACAAAAGTAAGTCTTGAAAAATCTATTTCATAGTAAAATTCACTTTTTCAGCCACTAATTTAATGTGTTAAACCAGCTCCTTTTATTAAGTATACCAATGAAGTACATTTGGTTTCCATAGTTTAAAAAACTATCAGAATAAAATTATGATTGGGGAACATTCAATTCAATGAGTGTATGAAAGGCTACACTCAGAAGAGAAAATCTCTTGGAATTACATTAAAACAATTATGATTACTAATTGGTATCTTTTAGTGGTTTGGGATAGTTTCACTTAACTTGATTGGACAAACTATATTTTCAAAAAGGGTTGAAATTACCATGACAAAGTGAGCAATTGGTGGGTGTGTAATTTTTATACTCTTTTTCATCTCTTAGCGTCAAGACACTTTGGGATTATATGAATATGTAGCTCTAGTCTGGAACTAGGCGAGGACTTCACCAATTTACATGGGGTATCTAAAAAACACAATCCTGCTGCGTGCCTAACAATCGCGGGCTACAACAGGTTTGGCTACAGGCAGTGAAAGTACTCAAGCATTAATAAGAATTCATTTGGAAATTAAATAATGACCAAGTGAAACAGAAAAAAGGCAGTGTCCAGTCCCAGGTTTCTTAAATCTGTGTGACATAATTGCTATCAGTGACTAATTTGTCAACCATTACTATTTTGGTATTACATGTAAACTGGCAGGGTCCCAACCCAGCTCCAAATAAGAACTACATACGCATTACAGAGTAAAAGTCATTCCCCTTTCGGAGTCTGGTTTATTACCAAAATGATAATTTCAAAGTAACTCTATGAACTCAAACTAAATCCTCTTTCTAGGATTCCTTTCCTCAAGACCTGTCTTGTCACAGGCCCTGGATCCCTGTGCCAGAGGGATACTCCCACTTCATTTATATTCATGGTGAAATCTTATGAGCCATGCCTGCCCTGAAGATTCAGCAACTGACCTGTAGATCCCTCCTGGATTCCCACACCTGCTAACAAGGTGGGACATTTAGGGCAGGTCTACACTTACCAGGGATTGACGGGTGTGGTGATTGATCCAGTAGGGGTCGATTTAGCAGGTCTAGTGAAGATCTGCTAAATCGACCAGATTGGTCTCCCGTCAACTCCAGTACTCCACCAGAATGAAAAGCGTAAGGTAAGTGGACGGGAGAGTTTCTCCCATCAACCCAGCGTGGTGTAGACATCGCAAAAGGTCCACCTAAGCTACGTCAACTCCAGCTACGTGAATAACGTAGCTGGAGTTGCGGAACTTAGGTCGACTAAGCCCTGTAGTGTAGATCTGCCCTAAGGGACAAGAAAAATCACATATGTAACAGGAAAAATATTAGACACACAATGTGGGTGAAGTAATATCTTTTTTTGGATCAACCTCTGTTGGTGAGAGAGACAATCTTTCAAGCCACACAGAGCTCTTCTTCAGGTCTGGGAAAGGCATTTTGAGTGCCACCATTAAATGCAAGGTGGAACAGACTGTTTAGCATAACTAGTTAGCGCATATTGTAAGGGACCATTCAAGGTAGAGTGGCCTGTTAACACCTCTACAGTCACAAAAAGAGGGGGTTAGTGATTGTTGTAATAAGCCATACAACAAATTGTTACAAATTGTTGTAATAAGCCATAAATCCAGTGTCTCTATTCAGCCCATGATTTTTGTGTCTAGCCGAGTTATGAATTTAAGCTTCCAGGATTGTCTTTTTAAAGTGTTGTGCAGGTTTCCTTTGAGGATGAGAACTGATAGGTCAGATATAGGGTATGTCTACACAGCTGACATTAAAGTGCTGCCCTGTAGTTGCGGCTCTCCCAGCGCTGTAAAAAAAAAATACCACCTCAATGAAGGGAGTAGCTCCCAGGGCTGGCGCACTGTCTACACTGCCACTTTACAGCACTGAAACTTTTTCACACCCCTGAGCGAGGAAAGTTTCAGCACTGTAAGTGGCAGTGTAGACAAGCCCATAGAGTGATCATTTTGTGAAAAGCTTCAATACAGAAATAAAACCCCCTCTGGCCCACAACGGAATCCCTACAGGGTATTAAACAACTACAACTCATACTTAAGGAGGACCCCATCCTGAACCCCCTCTTCTGGGCTTTAAACAACATCCGAAACTTATCAGAAGCAAGCTCCCCAGACCCAGGACACACCAACTCCAAGGGGCACAAGACACTGCCAGAACAACAGATGCAAAACCTATAGACGCAGCTTCACTGATACAATGATCAACACTCCTCACCCCCAACACACCTTTCAAGATCCAGGAATACTACACATGCCTATCACAAAATGTGGTGTACCTCATTTAGTGGTGTACCACTAAATGCCCCAGTAGCAACTATGTGGGTGAAACTAGACAATCACTACTCTCTCGAATGAACTCACACAGGAAAATGATCAGACAAAAACACAACACCACCAAACACTTTTCACAAAGTGATCACTATCTCCTCTGACCTATCAATCCTCATCCTCAAAGGAAACCTGCACAACATTTTAAAAAAACAAGCCTGGGAGCTTAAATTCATAACTCCCTCCGCTAGACACTAGAAATCATGGACTGAATAGAGATAGGTTTCAGAGTAGCAGCCGTGTTAGTCTGTATCCGCAAAAAGAAGAACAGGAGGACTTGTGGCACCTTGTTAGTCTCTAAGGTGCCACAAGTCCTCCTGTTCTTCTTTTTGTGAATAGAGATACTGCATTAATGGCTTATTACAACAATCTAGAACCCAACTACTCATCCCGGTGCCCTGCCCCCCTGCTTTCCCCTGCCCTGCCTTCCTTTCCTCCCTGAAGGGGTGTTAACAGGCCACTTTGCCTAGAATGGTCCCTTGAAATGCTTGTTAACTACTTAGGCTAAACCATCAGTTCCACCTTGTATTTAGCTGACATTTCCCAGACTTGAAGAAGAGCTCTGCCCAAGCTCAAAAGTTTGCCTCTCACCAACAGAAGATAGTCCAATAAAAAATATCAGAGAGACAAAGTGGGTGAGGTAATATCCTGGTATCAACATGGCTAAAACAACACTGTATAGAACAATGGAAGAATTTTTGAATAGTCATTTATGCTTTGAAATGGTCTGTATCCATTTATCTGCATTATGCCAGTTAATTATATCTGATGGCCATTTAACTTCTATATTAAGTGTTTGTAATAGTGTGGTTTGTTATTTTCCTTTCTGTATGAATTCCTGCTTTTTCTATAGAGGTTTTTAAGATGGATTCTATTAAATGAATTCCCAGTGGCTGGCTCTTATACCATTGCAGATCAACTTGTTGGAAAGTGAATTTACAATTTTTAGCAAGATGAAATGGGACACTTCCTTCTAGCATTCTGGATGATCTCCACTAGAGAAAAAAATATTTGTAGTTAGAACTGGACATCTTTCTGTATTTTTACGGCAAGTGTAACCTTTTGAATTTAAGAGTCATTAGGGTCATTCTTTTTCTAGCTTTGGGTTGGCTCTTTTTTTCAAATTGAATATATTCTTTTCCATTTCATCTTGCTTCAGTTGGATGTCTCCCCATTTTTGCTGCCTCATTTCATCATTCCCTCAAATTCCAAAACACATTATATTATCCATCCACATTGTGTTTTGAAGGGAATCTGCACTGTGTGGTCCAAGCTGATTTGTCAAGTATAACTGGTTTACAAGCTCATTGGTCACTTTGTCAGATGCATTTTGTTTGCAGACTTTTCCTTTTGTTTTCAGTTCTCTTTGTTTTAATTTCAAGCCATCTCTTAGGCTGGTAGAATAACTGGCTTGTTGTAAGTAAATTAAATTAAATTAAATTAAATTAATGGAGATATCCTATCTCCTAGAACTGGAAGGGACCTTGAAAGGTCATCGAGTCCAGCCCCCTGCCTTCACTAGCAGGACCAAGTACTGATTTTGCCCCAGATCTCTAAGTGGCCCT